CCAAGAGAGGTTTGGGTGGTTTCTCCACCCGGGATTGTAAGTGTTCGAGTACGGATCACTTCCGGGTCGGTTCTGATAACCCTATAGTGCATTCACCTCGGTATTCTGTCCTCCGTAGCTTGGGTCGATAGCTGTCGGGCACACCTCAGATCCGTGGCCCTGCACTCCGCATGCACTGCAAACATTCACTGCCATCGTCTGAATTGGCGAGGAACTTCGAGCATTCAGTAGTTACATCTGCTCCGTGAGCTCGGCTAACTGCTGGGCCATGGCATTATTACTCGATCCTATCTCATTCACTGTGGACCTATTCCCTATGATTCTTTTCTGAGACGAGTTAGCACTCATCGTCTCATAAATCACAATCATCTCTTCAGTTGTTTTAGCCCTGATATTCCCTCCGGCTGCATTATCACCATGTACTGCAAGTTCTGGTGGAGGGAGTCGTAGAAACAATTCGCCAATAGCCCTTGAGCGAGGTTATGGTGGGAAAACTGCCTCTAGAGGTTCTTGAAATGTTCCCAGGCCCCATGAAGAGGCTCGTCTGGCAGTTGAGTAAAAGAGACTATCTGAGACCGGATATCTTGGGTCTTCTGATGGGAATAGTATATCCCGGCAAATTTCGAGTAAACTTCGGACCAAGTTGCTAGAGAATCCGGGGCGAGGGTCATGAACCAAGCCTTCGCCTAGTCCTTCAGAGTCTCCGGGAAACACCGCATTTTGAGTTGGTCCTCGCTCAACCCGTGTAGAGGGAACGTCTGGAGGACGTTGTAAAAATCTCGGAGAAAGTGGAGTGGGTCTTCATTGGGGAGCCCGTGGAATGAAGGTAATTGGTTGTAATGGACCATTTTCAACTCATAGTTGCGGGCGGCTTACCCTAACCGGATACAAGAAGTGATTGGCCCAATCAGTTGGGCCAAGTTTCGGAGAAGGTTGCGAGGAGGTTGTTGCTCGGCCATGTCTGAATTACTCCCCTCGGATGACTTAGGGGAAAGCTCATTTTCCGTGTGTGATTCGAGGGTAAGCTCGTCTAGCAGCTCTTTTAAGCTTTCGTTAATCAACTTGTTGATCGGGGATAGTATACGTCCTCTCCTGGTACGCATACACTCAGACAACAAACGGTTACGAGCACCAACGGTAAAGAAGAGAAAATATAATAAAATAAAAACAACGAAAAACTACACCTAAACAAAGAGAAACATAGAAAAATAAAGTGAATAAGCGCACAAAATACGTCCTAATCCTCCCCCGGCAACGACGCCAATTTGTTGTTAATATTTTTCCGGGGTAGAATCGAAAGATTCGAACACCGGGTCATGTCTCTCGAGGAAAGTTAGCCGGAATATTCTGTACGTTTATTCAAGCATGAATAAAAGAAATAAAATTCCTAAACATTATAATCAAAGATTGGATTTGGTTTTTAAATAGCAAGCAAAGTCGAAGAACAAGCTGGATTTAAGAAGCTAAGGAGTCGGGGATATCCATTTTGGTTTGAATTGCAATTAATGGACAAGTGATTGTTCAGTTAAGTGATTTGAATAACCTTCACGTTCAAGTACTCATCCTCAATAACTCTTCGTAACAAGAGAACAAACTAGAAACGCAAATTAACAAGTCATTTAACTCCTAGGCAATACAGTTACGAACAAGCCTAGCTTATGCAATCCTATTCCGACCGGCTCCTCCCCTTTCGGTTCTAAGAGTCGATTAAAGATAGACTAGATGGTGATTAAGCGACTAATTATTAGAACAATCAACATCATACAAGAATAAATCGAACTCAAATGAAAACAATTGGAAATTGAAGTGTCACCCTTCAATAATCCTCAGTATTCATATACGATATTTGAAAAACCCTAGAAAAGATTAACTCGCATAAGATGAACAATCAACGAACACCACAATCATAATCGATTGCAAAACATCAATCTCCTATCCCTAGCATATGGATTTAACCACTCATGATCGATTCATCAACATAAACAACCATAATCAAAGCAAACATATCCATGAATTAAATGTATAGAAAACTTACGATTAATGGAAATTGAATGATAATTCGATAAACAAGATTAATCTGAAAGAAATAGCAACATCCGAGTTCAAATCCTTGTTCTACGATGAAAAATATGAAAAGATAATGAAGAAAACGAGTTCTGGAAGGGAAAAGTACGAGAGAACTCAAAACCTAGATCAGAGCATAATGAATAATGTTTTCAGAATCTGCTCTAAAAAAATCTTAAAGTCGCGGCCTTCGCGACCACGGAGCTTCCCGCGGGCCGCGGCGAAGAACCAATCCCGAGGCAGCGGATTTTTTGATGTTTAACTGTCCGGCAGCCGTGACCTCATATCCGTGGCCGCGGAGAAGAAAATTTCGGGTGCGGGCGTGTTTTCCTCACCGCTGCCGCGGAAAGACCGTCGCAGGCCGCGGCGATGGAATTTCGCCATTTTTCTCAGGCTCCCACGTATGCTACCGAACTCGGAATTTACTTCCGTCTTTTTCTACTCGACTCAACCTCAAAATCCTAGATGGTAATCCCCGCATGGCCACTTTTCAATCGAGCCACCTAACCTGCACATCTCTACCGACAAGAAAAACGCAGAAAAACGACAACAAAATGGACCAAGAACTAAAGAAAATTACCTAAAATGGGAGAAAATAAATAAAAAATAAACACGAAAAACACGACAAAAATAGAACGAACAGTTCTTAAGAAAGGTGAGTATTTTGGCTATTCCTTCAGTTGAAAATCTAGCTAGGCGGCATATCGATGTGGATGTAAAATGTCCCAGATGTTTGTGCTTAGAATCAAATAGTCATGTTTCTTCGAATGTGAATGGGATAAGAACTTGTGGAAAATTGCAGGCTGGTGGGATATACTTGCTCGGCTACGAGGTAAGAACTTTTCATTTATATTATGTGAGATTTTAGGCAGTGATTGTGGGGATGAGTTTCCAATCTTCGCATATTTTTTGTGGATTATATAGTATAAGCGGAACCATATTAAACATGGACTGAAAGGAAAAACTGTGGAGCAAGCATGAACTATAAGAAATACATGGCTGGAGGAGGCTTATAAAGTGCGATCGGGGCGTATGTTTTTTGAACGTTCTTTACACCCACCAACAATTGATAGTTGGTTCAGCCCGGGAAAGTGTCAAATGGGCTCACTTTATTTTGTGATGTTGCAGTTCATGATTCAACAATTGGATTGCGGGGTTGGACATGCGACTCTGCTTTAGTCTTGATTAGGGATTTTTTATTCAATATGCCAAGACAGACGCCCTGACGGTTATTTGTGGATTGTTTGATCTTTTGCTAAATGACACCTTGAATCACTTTTTTGAAAATATTATTTTCCTTTTGTTAAATCTAAATTGTGGGTCTTGTCGACATATTGGTAGGAATATAAACTATGTTGCTCGTAATCTAGCTAGTAGTGCTATGTTGACTACAGGGTCCTTCTTCTAGAAGAACTGTCCCCCACTTTTTTTTTTTTTATCTTCTTCAATTTGTAATGTTCGGAACCTAAGTTTCTCTTGAATTTTAGAGCATCTCCAATAATAATTTCTCCATTGGAGATGTATTACATGGAGAGAGAATATTACAAAATATTGTCTCCAATGATTAATATCAACTCTAGTATAATTTGACATGTGCAAAACTATAATTGGTTGGACATGAGAGATATACTTAATTAATAGTATATATATAATTGAGGTTGTGTAAAAGTGATTCTATGTCTAGAAAGATTTCTAGACATTTTCATTGTCACATATGATTTATTAGGCCTCTGACAATAATAAAGAACAATCTACAAACTATTGGAGATGCTCTTATCATTGAACAATCTACAAACTATTGGAGATGCTCTTATCATTGTTGTATGAGCATTACTATTTACCACCCCCTTATTACTAGTCACCGGCCCCCTTGAACGATTTTGCCCTTCAGTACTATCTCTCTCTATTCTCTCTCTCTACTTTTTTTTCCTTTTGATTTTCTACGGCTCTTTTTGACCGTAAAAAAAATTTCAAAAAAATACCAAAAAAATATCATGACATCGGCAGGACATTGAAGATTGACAATGTATTTTTTTATATATTTTTTACTTTATAAATAATTTTTTAATTTTTTTTACTAATTCTTTTCGC